GATTCGACCATTCGGTCAACAAGTAAGGGAAATTCTTCCAATTTCCAGCTTTATCGTATTTTCAAAACCAAACCATATCTAGCTCTGTACAACTCCAAATTGAGATTGTTTTATGGTGTTGGAAACTAGGTTCCAAATACTACAATTCATCAGAAGACATCATTTTGAAAATCATTTCATAAGTGGGACAAAATTGAGCTACAAGATGCAGCTTCTAGTTTCGTTCGCGTACACAGTCAAAACAGAACGGCCAACTTTGCCGACTCGCTACGGTTCACACAAAACGAACCAGTAGGTGATTTTTATACCGTTAAAAAAGTATGAATGTCTAGTTTTGAATTCCACTAACGGCACTCAATTTTGACTTTTGTACACAGAGATACATTCAGACAAAGAGGCACTGTCCGAGTGCACTGTTATCAATTTCCAGATTTGAAACTCTTCCCAAAACTCAAGTTTTGCACAACCAAATAATACGATTTTTGAAAGACACTTTATACACACAATATACAACATATATCCATCGATTTCACAGCCAACTAAACATTAAAATTTTGAAAATAAAACAGAACAACATGGACAGAATTTTCGGCTAGCTCTCTTCCTCACGGTTTCTCTTTCTTTTTCCTCTTCTAGTTTCTTCCATTAAAACTCATCACAAACACACTAACACACACATAAACATCATGGCAGCCCTCATTTAACCAAGGTGGGAGTTCATAGAGCCCACTTCAACCAACCAAATCCAACCAACAACAACAAGAAGAAAGCTACAAGCTTCAAAGCCAAGAAATGAAACAAGAAAGCAAGAGTTGTGGTGGGAGATGTTTATACCTTCCAAACCCAAGAATAAACCCTAGATTAAGATCAAATTTTTCACCCAAAATTCTCCAAGAAAATCCACAAGATTGCTCCTTGCTCCTAACTAGAGTGGTACTCCAAGTTGTGAGTGACTTGGTGGAGGATTTGTGGGTGAAATGGAAGCTATAAGATGAAGTTTTTCTTTCTTCCCTTCTTCCTCCTTAAGCTGGCCGAAAATGAGGTGAGAGAGATGAGGGTTTGGTGTGGTGAAACTTGTAAGGGAAGCTTGGATGAAAAGTGGTTGTTAAGTTTGCCAAAAAGTCAACACTCACTAGTGTCGCGCTAGTGTTTCGTACCACCACTTTCTCTCGGGTTTGATACACTCATGCACTAATTCTCCAATGTAAATCCTCTAATACTGTAATTATTCATACTTACTAGTCTAGTATTAAATTTTCAAATCTCTAATTAGTCGTACCGGCGCGACTTTCGAGAAACTATCAACGCGCGCGTGATAAAAACTTAAATTTTAACTTACTCACATCTAATCCCTCAATTAACTTTTCTTAGTCTACTATTGATCATTCTTAATTCTCCAAGTTTATTGCACTCTCGGATCGAGCATTGCCTGGAAAAAAAAAACGTGTATTCACTATTCCTGACTAAACGAGTCGCAGAAAATTAATTTTGCTAACGGGACTTTTAAAAATGTAAGTGAGACATCGTTCCATAAAAATGAATTTAAAATGGTTGAAATAAATTATTCGGAGAAAACGGGTGAATAAATAATTAAATAAGCCAGTAAAATAGAATTAAAAGTAAGTAAAATTCGGGTCCTCACAGGAGGAATACCAAACCAAGTGGTGATGCAATCAAGGGAATTAAGATGAAGATATGCCTACCTTGAATGGGAGAGACAAGTGGAATTGGTGTTTGATTGCAATGACTACACGGAGGAGCAAAAGTTGAGATTTGCAGTGGTAGAATTCACCAACTGTGCTATAGTTTGGTGGGATCAAGTGGTTCCAAGCAGACGAAGATGTGGTGAACCATCTATAACCACTTGGACTGAGCTTAAATGCCTCATGAAGAAGCGATTTGTACCAAGTCACTACCATAGAGACTTGTACCGCAAGCTTCAATCCTTGTCCCAAGGAGCTCGCTCAGTTCATGACTACTACAAAGACATGGAAATCTCATGTGTGAGAACCTAGAAATTTTGCTAATTTATCTAGTTTAACTACATGGTACTTCATTTATTTAGTCATCTATTTGGTTATTTATTGATTTGATGATGATTTTGCCTTAATATTTTAATTAAATTTTACATGTGAAAGTTAATGATGAGGAGGTCGATAGAGCTATTCAAGTAGAGCAAGTGAAGGTGCCATTGGGCCCTATGATAAGAGCTCGAGCAAAACGGCTAAATGACGCCCTGTAAATCTTGGTTCGTGCGGCTCGAGATGCTAGTGGAGAGCCAAAGGCCATTGAGGGCCTCAACGAGTCAAGACGTGTTATTTTAATTGCGGCACTCGAGGCGGACTAGTTCGCTATGGATCGTCTGGGGGTCATGGTTCATTGTTAGTTTAGTAGTGTTAATAAAAAAAGGTTCAACTGACTTGTGGTTCAAACCTTGGTCAAGTCTAGTCATTGGGTCACTTGGTTCAGCCATGTGGGCTAACCTTAGTGGGTTCACTTGGCCCATTAGTCATTAGTCATTAGTCGTTGGTTACGTGAGTTAGTATTAAAGAGAGAGAAATCGTGTGTAACATTAAATTATTGATGATTAATAAAAATACACTTGAGAGATCTCTCAAAAGCTTCATTGAAGCAACTTTGAATATCTTAGAGTTATTCTTTGGTATTCAAATTGACTTATCAATCTAGGACCGCGCTAGATTGTGGCGTCCTCTACCAATACCGAGGGTCATTGACCACGTGATCAACGGGTTTAGGTATTTCTGCTGCGTTCTTCGTGTCTTCAACGTGGATATTTCCTTCTAGATCCTAGCCTTTTTGTACGGGTTTCGTCACAAGGTTGGCACATTTCGTATCAACTGGCATCAGAGCTAGTTGAAGGTATCACGTATATCCCTTGTGTTTTGTTCCTTTGTGTCGTTCCTTTTCTTGTTCTAGTGTCAAAAAATCTGTCCAAGTTATCTATAATCTGTTCAAGTGAAGCCGAATCTGTTTAGCCTTGCTCTTGGGTTGAAAATTCTGTTTTGGCTCATCTTTGCTTCATTAATCTTGCTTGTGTTGCTTGGAGTCATAATCTGTCTGCACGCGTTTCCTTTGTTTGTTGTGTTGTCGTGCCTAGTCATCTTGTTTTGTGTTGTTTGTGTCGTGTGTTGAGGCTGCTGCAACTTTGGTGTGTGTAGCCGTGAGTCAATAGGGTTTTGTCTAGGGTTCTTGAGTCAAAAAAAAAAGGCTGCTGCCGTACATTTTACCCTTGTTGTCCGAAAATTAAGGTTGTTGTTTCTTGTGTTGGAAGTAGTTGTGGGCTGTTCGAATTTGTTACTTGCTGACTTGTGATTGTTGTGGGCTGTTTTGGTTGTAAGTCACGAGTTTGGAAGGTCTTGAATCAAGACTTGGTGAATCTTGAAGTTCTTGATTAGGCCTAACACCAATCTTGAATTTCTTGAAACACTAGCATTGGCTCTTGAAAATCTTGACTTAATCGTGGGTTGGTTAGCTAATTCTTGAATGAATTATAATGTTCTTGAGTTATTGAACAACCACAAGTTGTATCTTGAAAAAATTTTGGCGAAATTGGGGGTAACTTGAATTGGACTACTCTCGGCCACACCAAAAGAAAGAGAACTTGCGGCCATCAAAAGTCCAAACCCTAGCAGCCGAACTTTGTGCTTCATTGTCTAAACAAAAAACAAACAAAAAAAAACAGCGAGCCAACTGTTTCGGCCAAACCAAGAAAGAAATTTCAAAATTTATTGCCAAATTATTCACGGATTACATCTTGTATCCAAGACTACCAAAAAAAAAATCAAAAGTTTTGGTCCACTACTTCTTGAAGTTCTTGAACCTCTTGATTCTTGGAAATTTGTTTCTTCCGTCTAGTGAACAATTTCTTGTACTCTCGAGCGGCGGTGAAAGTTCTTGGAGTCCTTGATTCTTTCTTGAGAACATCTTGGGTAACCCATTGGGAGGGAGCCTGAGGAGGGTTGATTGCGTCACATTGTTGAGATTCCATCTAGTTGATATTGTCTTGAGCAAAAATCCGAAACTGCCTTAGGTGTTTTTGAACAGAAAATCCGAGCTTGATCTTGTGCTTGCGAGTTAAGGCTCACGTGGTTGGTCTTTAATAGCCTAAATTCCAGCCGTGCTCTTGATTGGTTTCCAAATTGTGAGTTCCATATCTTGGGTTTTCAAATCTTGATTGGTTTCCAAATCTCGACTGGTCCCCAAATGTTGATTGGTTTCCAAATCTTGATTGATTTCCAATCAAAGACCCATTCCTACATTTTAGCCACCACCTCTCCTACTTTTTAGAACTTTCCTTAGCCCATTAATCTTATCCTCACATTCGGCCATCTCTGCCTATATTTTAGGGAGTTAGCCGCCACTTGTCATCCCTTTTTAGGAGAACAATACGGATACACAAAGACAAGAAAAAGCAGCTTGCCGAGATATAAAAAAGAAGAGTATTTCTCCATTTGTGTTGTGTCTTTGTATTCATAATTTTTTTTCGTGTCTTATTCATCCTTTCTTTCGTTCGAGTCTTTCATTTCATTGTGTCCCTCGAGTCTATAAATTGTTATTATCCCATCCATTGAGTATTCTCCGTTCTAATCACCTCGGAGGCATTATTGAGGATTGTTCCGGTTCTCATGGCTAAATTGGTAAGTTGATCGTTTATCTGAAGGAGTTCTAATTGCTTCAAGGTAAGCTGTCAAAAGGCTTTGGGAGAATTGGGTGAATTTATTAGAGTGTCACTTGAGCGACAAACACGAGAGTTGAGTGTAAACACGCGAGGGAGTGAGTAAGGAAAATATCTAGTTGTTTTCTCTACTAACTTTTTGCAAGTTTACCTAAGCATGTCGAAAGGAGGTGATACATCTAAATTTGACCCCAAATTGAATAATCAGGCATTAATGGGGAAGTTCCAGCGCATGCTCAGGGAGTCCATGAAATCCTTACACCAAAGGATAGATCGATTGGAGCTTTTTCAAGCTTGATCTAGCATGGCACGAGGAGATGCCCCACATCGCGAGGAGCTTGCATCTCACAGCGATGAGGAGGACTTCATCAGTCGGCCGAGACAGGAAACCAAGAGGACAGATTACGGATTAAAGGGCATAAAGATCAAAATTCCCTCATTCCAGGGCAAGTCTAGCCCAAAGGCTTACCTAGAATGGGAGCAGTGTATCGAGATGGTGTTCGAGTGCCAGAACTACACCGACGAGCAAAAGGTCAAACTGGCAACCCTCGAGTTCACCGACTATGCCATAGTCTGGTGGGAGCAGGAGCGCACTAGGAGGCGCCGCAAAAGAGAAAGGCCTATTAGTACATGGGAGGGGCTGCGAACCACCATGAGAAAACAGTTCGTACCCGGCCATTACTACCGAGACCTATACCAAAGGCTCCAGACTTTAGTTCAAGGAAATCGCAGTGTGAAGGACTACTATAAGGAGATGGAGATCACCATACTCCGAGCAGATATTGTGGAAGATAGAGATGCTACCATGGCGAGATTTCTCAACGGGTTAAGGCCTGAAATCGCCGAATTGGTAGAGTTGCAGAACTATGTGGACATGCCCGAGTTGATTGATAAGACATCAAAGATTGAGAGGAGGCTTAAGAGGAGGGATAACCCCCGCACTCCTAGCTTCTCCGCCACGCCTCTTGGGAGTGGCAATTCGACTTCTGAGCGGGAACAGCCCAGTGCAGGTGTCCAAATTCCCTCCTAAGTCCGACCCACCCAAGCAAGCACCAAAGGCAACTCCAAAACCTTCATTCGACTCCAATAAACTGAGAAGCTGTGACAAGTGCTTTAAATGCCAAGGATTTGGGCACATTACTTCCCAGTGTCCCAATAGGCGTACCATGATTGTCCTGCTGAGTGGAGACGTCGTCTCTGAGAATGAGGACGAGTATGCCGAGATGCCATCATTAACTGACGAAGGTGGATATTCAGAAGTAGAAGTTGAGGCCATTAGTGAACAAGTGGGCATTGCATTAGTAGCCCGCAAAGCTCTTGCAATGCAAATCAAGAGGATGGATGAGGCCCAACGAGACAACATTTTCTATACCCGGTGTCACGTCAAGGGAAGGGTGTGTAGCCTCATCATTGATGCAGAAAATTGTGCCAGCGTGGCGAGTACTCTCATGGTTGATCATCTATCATTGCCAACGTTGAGACATCCCAGTCCGTACCGTTTGCAATGGCTCAATGAAAGTGGCGATATCAAAGTCACCAAGCAAGTGGTGGTACCTTTCCGGATCGGGAAATATAAGGACGAAGTCCTTTGCTACGTCATCCCCATGCAGGCTTCTCACATCTTGTTGGGACGGCCATGGCAGTATGACAAGAAAACTACCCATGATGGGTTCCCCAACAAATATTCCTTCTTGTACAACAAGAAGATGACACTTGTCCCTCTTACACCTCAGTAGGTGCATGAAGACCAGGTGCGATTGCAGCAAAAGCATGAACGAGAATTGGCTAAAAAGTAAACCGACTCTAAGGCCCCCACTAAAGCACTACCTGAGAGGACATTCACCAAAGGAGCATCTACCCAGATGGAAAAGAGGCCTAGCTTGCTTGCAAAGAACAAGGAAGTTCGCAAACTACTTTTGTCCAAGCAAGTTGTTTATATTTTGTATTGTAAAGAAGTGATTTTATTCTCTCATGAGGCACTCAGTGACTTACCTACTGAAATCTCTTCTTTGTTGTAGGAATTCGAGGACGTTTTCCCAGATGAGATCCCAAGTGGACTACCACCACTCCGAGGGATCGAGCACCAAATAGATTTCGTCCCTGGAGCATCCTTACGTGTAAACCGACCTACAAAATGGGTCTTGAGGAGACTAAGGAGATCCAACGGCAAGTAAATGAGCTCCTAGAGAAGGGTTGGGCTCGAGAGAGCATGAGCCCCTGTACAGTTCCAGTCATCTTCGTACCAAAGAAAGAGGGCACTTGGAGGATGTGTGTAGACTGCCGAACTGTCAACGTGATCACAGTTAAGAACCGTCATCCTATACCTCGTTTAGATGATATGCTTGACGAATTGTATGGTGCAGTCATTTTCACCAAAATTGACCTTAAAAGTGGCTACCACCAAATCCGCATAAAGGAAGGTGACGAGTGAAAGACAGTGTTCAAAACCAAATATGGCCTGTATGAGTGGTTAGTTATACCTTTTGGTTTAACTAACGCCCCAAGTTCATTTATGCACCTTATGAATCCTGTGCTTCGACCTTTCTTAGGCAAATTTGTTGTTGTTTATTTTGATGACATACTTATATACAGCAAAAGTCCTGAGGAGCATGTAGCACATTTAATAGCTGTCCTTGATGTATTGCGTAGGGAGAGGTTATTCGCTAACCTTCAAAAGTGTACTTTCTGCACTAATGTGCTTGTTTTCCTTGGATACAAGTTTAGTGCACAGGGCATACGTGTGGACGAGAGCAAAGTTCAAGCCATCAATGAGTGGCCAGTGCCTAAAACCATGAGTGAAGTTAGGAGCTTCCACAGCCATGCGAGTTTCTATCGCCGGTTCGTGAAAACTTCAGTACTATTGACGTCCCTCTGACGGCCATTATCAAGAAAGATGTGAAGTTCGAGTGGGACGCAACTCAGGAGAAGGCGTCCAACTCCTTAAGCATAAGCTCACACATGCACCTTTATTGTCCTTGCCTAGTTTTGATAAAACTTTTGAGGTTGAGTGTGACGCTTCTGATGTAGGAATTAGAGCTGTGTTGATCCAAGAAGGAATGCCGATCACGTACTTTAGCGAGAAGTTAAATGGTGCTACTCTGAACTACTCCACCTATGATAAGGAGCTCTATGCCTTGATTCGTGCATTGGAGACGTGGCAACACTACCTTTGGCCAAAGGAGTTTGTCATCCACACAGACCACGAGGCATTAAAGCATCTCAAGTTTCAACACAAGTTGAGTAAGAGACATGTACGGTGGGTCACTTTTGTGGAGACATTTCCCTATGTGATCAAGTATAAAGCTGGCAAGACCAATGTAGTTGCAGATGCACTATCCAGGAGGTATGCCTTGATCGCTCTACTTGATGCTAAACTCCTTGGATTTGATCTCATCAAAGACCTATATGACACCGACTCTGATTTCTCTGATATTTATAAATCTTGCACCAAGTCGAGTCAGGGTAAGTTCTTTGTACATGATGGATTTCTGTATTGTAACGATAAATTATGCATTCCATCATGTTCTATTCCTGAGTTACTAACTCGTGAAACTCACGGAGGTGGATTGAAGGGACACTTTGGTGTCACCAAAACTTTGAGTACATTACAGGAACATTTCAATTGGTCACGCATGAGGCGAGACGTGGAGAGAGTGGTCTCACGTTGTGTGAGGACCCGAAAATTTACCGAATTTCTAGGCTTTATTTTATTTAATTGCACACTTTTATACCTTTTCTTTATTAGAAATTTTCCCAGATAATTTTTATGAGCAAAATATAGTTTTTAAATCATTTTTCTAGTATAAGTTAGTTCATGTGAAATTAAGAGTGTATATCAAACGTGGGACCCACTAGTGCGAAAAGTTCGGAAAAATTCGGCCAACTAGGTTAAGTTTTGGATACTGGAATTAATTACCGGGTATTAAGAGATAAATAGAGGATGCTAAGTGGATTGGTATAAGAGAGACAAAAGTTAGGCAAGCAATTAATGATGGTGACAAGTGTCACCATAGGGTTGGTAGAAACTTTTGACTACTATTCCATGTCTTACCAATTGACTAAATAAGCTAAAAATTTACCAAAAATTCCTCCATTTCCAAGCTCTAGTGGCCGGCCCTCTCTCTCAAGAAAGGAAGAAAGAAAGCTCTCCAAGTTAGCTCCAATCTTGCTCCAATCTACCAAATCAACCATTTACTATTGTTTTTGTTCCATAGAAACCCTTAAGGGAGTGTTTGTGAGTTGTTTTGTGGAGTTATTTGGAAAGCTAAGAGGACTAGTTGCCCTCTTTCTTGTCTTGCTAAGGTAAGTTGAGAAGGACCCCTCTCCTCCCTTTAATGATGTTTAATCCATGATTAGTGGTAGTATAAGATGCAATTTTATGGATTATTTCTTGATTTTGGTTGAATTGGTGAAGTTTTGTAATTATTGGGGATTTTTCTGTTTTCATATGAATATGATTATGTGGTCATGTATGATGATTGGAAATGGTAATTAAGGAAGCTAGAAGGTGGAAAAAGTGGTTAATTGCAAGCAATTTCTGTTTTGGAAGAAAATTGAAAAGTTAGGGTTTTAATGTTCTACATTCTGCCCGGTTTTGTAGCTCATAGTTAGAGGCCGAATTGGCCTTGGGTTAAAACATGAAAGTTGTATGGAATGATATTTTAGATATGCCTGCAAAATTTCAGGTCAATCGGAGTAGCGTGGCTTGAGAAAAGACGGAATTACCCTTGCTGCCCTGGTTTTACCCGAATTTGGGAATTGCTTCAGTAATTGGTTATTTTGGTCAGGAATACTTCCGAATTGGTTGTTTAGGTCTTCTGATGAAATGTATCCCTGTTTATTAGATTTCATATGGCTTTGTAATTTCTGGATTTGGAGTTAGGTAGGCTGATTTATGATGTTTGCACTAGAATGCGTTCTGTGAATCTGTTTTTGCGGTTCTGGTGTAGTAGATTGCATTTTTGACCTGGTTACACTCGAAACTGGGTTGAGTGACCTTCTGTAATATTGTATCCCTATCTCTTAGCTTCGAAACGGTGGGTCTTGTACCTTCATCCGATAATCGTAGTGCCATTGGTGCCAATACCGCATAATGACGTCAAAAACTGTTTTTTTCCGGGTTAACACTTACTCCATTTCCGGATTTTTTCTGGTTTCCTGTATTACCTGTGTGTGCTTATGGAACCCTATTTTGGGAATATTTGGCATTGGTTTAATACTCGTTATCGAGTCTCATTGTACTTGTTTGCGTGTTTTAGGGCGTGACGGTGGTTCACGACGTTCCTTTGACGGAAGTGCATGAAATATCACTTTCGAGCTTGGTGAGTGTACTACCCACTTGTGTGTTACTACATGGCTTTAATACTTGAACTTGATGAGTTAAATGTTATTGCACCATTGATATTGATTGAAGTGAGGGTGTACTTTATCACTCTCACTTATTTCTCATGTTATTGGAATGTTACATGAAATAAAAGTACATGACTTGGTGTCGTTTGGACGAGTATCCAACGACCATGATTGTTATCATTGAGCTCAACCCCATTGGTAGTTGATTGAATCGAGCCGGCGAGGGCTTGGTCGTGACAATTAATGAGCCTAGGGGAAAGTTATATGGAATCATGTAGTATGCGAGACTCTCGATTCCGGTATACTCGAGTAATACCACATTGCAAGTGTTTGGAGTTTGGGCCCGGTAGGGGAATGTTAGGTGGAAGGAATGGAAGTAAAGTGAAGTCTACGGTTGGTTACTTTTAAACATTGACGGAGAGTCAATGAGATCCGATCAAGAATGCAAACGAGGAAAAGGGCTCTTGAGAGCCGCCCGTATCCTTTTATCATCATTATTGATGTGTGTCTTTATTTACTTTTGATGAATTGGACTGAAAAGCTTGATGTATCTATGAACTTGGTTGCTTGAGTAGTATTATCTCACTGGGCAATTAGCTCACCCTATTCCTTTTGTTTTCCTTACAGGAAAATGAATACTTTTGGACTGCATTTGATAATTGGTTGCCGAATTGAGCTAGTTGGACATACCTTTTGTATAGCTCATTTATTGAAACCCTAAATGTACTTTTGGGACCGTTTCTCTTTTGATTTGGCAAACCGTACTTGTATCCACTTTTGAATCACTTTGGTATGCCGCTTTGGATTGTATATGCTAAATTTCAACATGTAAATATTTGCTTGATGTTTGGCTGAGGTTTCGACGGGTCGGCTACTATTCATGGCCGACTCCGGTTTTATTTTTTTTATTTTTTTTATTTTGACTTGTTTACGCGCGTTTGTAAGTTCCGGATCGTTTTAGCTCGCTCTATACCGAACCGTTAGTCCTGGCGAGAGCTGGGCAGGCAGTCCGCTAACCCTCTGGTTCGCCTAAGGGGGAAGTGGGGCTGTCACAGGTGGTATCAGAGCCTGCTTCGCGTGGTCTCTGCACGGAGTGAGCCTGGACTAAGTGGTGAATGAGTATAAAGGACTAAGTGCTCATTTGAGCATAAGCTATGAATTGTGAATGTTATAGGCCTTAAATCTCTCTCATGGTATCTGAGGACCATAGATAGGTATGTCAGGTAGGAATTTCGATTGTAGATAGTTTACTCTTGGGACTGCAGCTCGAGATGTGAATTATCTTATTTCGGATTCTCGTGCCTGAGTACTCTAGAGTTGCGGCGCTGCTATGCTAAGTACTTGAGACTTGCATTTTGGGAACATGAACAGGTTTTGTCTAGTTTGG